TTTTTTTTTTTTTTTTTTTTTTCTCTCTCTCTCTCTCTCTCTCTCTCTCTCTCTCTCTCTCTCTCTCTCTCTCTCTCTCTCTTCCTCATCTCGAATTATACTCAGCTATTTGTCACAAATTTATGTCACTCTTTTAAGCACGAAATACAGCCTATTGATGACATTCCGTGCAGCTTCAACTGTTTAGGCAGTTTAGTACGGACAAAGAGAGAAGAACTTAATCACATCCCTTAATTACCCTGATGCTGAGATAAAATGTAATTGAAGAATAATGTCATCTGGAGAGAGAGAGCAGGAAAGTTTTCCAGCGTTCTGACGCCACAAATACATTTTATAAAATTCATCGTAGACTTCAATTCGATGGCAACACAGTGATGGCTGACTTCAGATTCAACTGGTGCATGTTGTAGTCGAAAAGAAATTCAAAAAAAACTAAAAACAATACGAAACAAACTGTCTTTGTAAAGTTTCGAGTTGTTCGTACGACAAAAAACGACGGCAACGAGTCATTGCAAGGGAATGAAAAAAGCACAAAACTTTCCTCGATGGATAAGGAGCGTTAACCATTGGTTTTTTCTACTCACTCAGCGGATGTTGTGAGATGTGGCTGTTGGTTGTTAGTTAATGTTGAATCTTGGACGAACTTTCTTCAAATCGAAAGAAGGACCCCGCCATCATATCCAATCGGGGCTCGTTGTATAGACTAAGACGGTTCTTCCATACTGGTAACTAAAGAAAAGAAATGAGCGATATTGTATTTTCTTCTTTCAGCCATCGAATGCGAAACGATCCGGTGTGAAATTGAAGAGCTTATATGTCTTCTGATTCCGTTGAAGGGGAATAGGGAGTATGAGAATGAATGAATTAGCCTGAAAGTTGACGAAGTGAGCGAAGCTTAAGAGAGAAAGTTCGAAAACAGCGTTTAACTCTGAGAAGTCCGTCTAGCTATCTGCCATTACTTTCATTTAATCGTAATTTGCAGATCTTTCATGTTATTTCAATGAACCAGCGAAGCGAAGCATTTTCAATTTTCGCATATTTATAAGCCTAATTGTGAAAAGGAGGGAGAAAAGAAAAAAATGCTTCCTGCTGATTTCGGCTTTTCGGATTCTATGTAATGATAGATTAACATATGAAGCGCCATAATCCACGTGGATTACGTGGACGTTTCTAACGTGAGCCACAATTGAACAGATTTCATTCTTAATTGAAATTTGTTAATGAACGGTTGGTCGGTTGCATTTACAACCGCAGAGCTCTCATGTTAGTTTCAGATATCGTGAGCTTCATCATATTAAGACAGCGTCTTATGTATGTTATGAGGGAACTTCTGAAAAACATACGATCACTGATTGAATAAAACAAGAGCCCTCCCCTTCCCTCCCTCCACCCCATACCGAGGGTAGTATATGCTACCTTCATTATCTGCACCTGTTCTATTAGAAAATTTTGCCGTATGTTCCAGGTTAATTGTAAGGAATATTTAACCAAACATATTTATGTCGGTGATGACGAAACATTTGGGTGCAACTAGTCGGATGTATCAAATCAGCTTGAGTTCTTCGGCCGAGTCAACTGGCTATTTTGTCTAAAAAATTGTAGCTTATGTGTTGGCACATGAACAGTGAATCTCTCAGAAGATCTTTCCATCTCCTCCTTATATTTTTCACTCTCTCTCCTACTGCCTGTTTCTCTCTCTCTCTTAATTTCTTTCTTGTTACCTCTACTATCTTCCCCTTTATTCATTTCTGTCTTTCCTTCTGTTCAATACTTATTATTAGGGGCTCTCTCCCTGCCCACTACCATCACCAACAGCACCACATTGCCTTCTTCTTCTTCTTCTTCTTCTTCTTCTCTTCGTCCTCCTTGTCCTCCTCCTTCTTCTTCCTCACTCGTTACCACCTCTCCTATATCCTCCGCTCTCTCTATTTCTTCTATGCACCCTCCAACTATCTCCGACTACAGCTGCCGGCCAGCGATGGTCAGGCAAACAGAGTCAGCGAAAGACGAGAGACGCAGAGGAATCTCGTTCCGGTCTTCGTCCATCTGGAACACTATCTTCACTTGGTGGTGGTGATATTTCAACTTCATTTTTATATGCCAAAGTCTTATCAGTTCCTTTGGAGCTAGTTTTACTTCAATTTGGCTTGCCGACCAATCCAAAAGCTTAAAAGAGAAGCTTGTTGAATAAAAGTTGGCAAAGTTAAAAGCTGCTCTGGCTCGAGTCGCCTAGCGGCTAACGAGACCTATTGATTGGTTACATATATGCTGAAAATACGTGCTTATAAGTGTTACCAAGCTTCATAAGGAATCGAAACGGTATTGACCACACTTTTATATGTTATTTATTCCGTATAATGTGTCATATTTTCAAATGAAACAGAAATGTTTTAAATTTAAGGCGTAAGTCGCGTTGTCTTACCGCGTCCAGGTCCCTATGTTTTCTTCTTTTTTTTTGTTCTCAGGTCGTTTTGCCGTTTTTTTGCTTGGAGCTATTAATAGTGAACAAGCTCGTAATTGTTGGTGTTAATTCTACCTTTTATAGTATTTCACAGTATTGTTCTATAGGTTTGGTAGCCTAATCGCCTTGAACTAGTCTCATATTTGCATGTTTTCTTGCTCTCTTACACACAGTTTTGAAAACCGTTTTCGTTTTTGAGATTATTGTGTCATTCAATGGTCCCATATGAGTGAATATTAGGAAATGGCTTTGATACACATACGAGCACATGCAGACATTTTGACGCTTTCTACCGTCTATACAAAATGAGCTGTGTATGTGTGTATGTATGTGTGTGTGTGTTGTGTCTTTGGCTGTCTTATCAAATGATTCGCCTATTCCAAAACTAAAATTGTTTTCTTTTTTTTTTCTTGAAACTGTTTCTCTTCCACTCCTTTCTATACTAATTTCCTTTGCAGAAGCTGTAGTCATAATGCAAAAACGTGCAAGGGTGGTGGAGTCGCAAAAATTGCGAAGAACGATAAAAGGAAAATGTAGATTAAATGATCCCCTCAGAGACAGGTAAATAACTAACAACATGCAGAAAGAAGCTTCAAGCTTCAACCAGTTCTTGTGCAAGTCACTGGTCAAATTACAACTGAAGATTTCGATCGACAATCAATGTAGCTTTCCTTCTTTCAGCGTATCAGTATCGATGGCATATTTTCGTCTATTTATTTTGTGGATTTTAATAATAACTGTCGACGTTGTTGTAGGATTTCGTTTTGAATTACTATGGCCTTTTTGGCTCGTTTCACGATCCTGTTACGAGTCATTCTCTAAAAATCAAAACACTGTTGTTACATTAGCAAATCAAAACACAGTGGTGAGTTGTCTTTCTTCTTCCTTTTTCAAACTTTCTTATTGTTGTCTTTTCATGGTAATAGTTCCCACGTTTTTCGTCTCCTTTGTTTCACAAACGTCATCTGATTTTACTCCCCCCCTCCATCTTTTTTTTTTCTTCATCGCTTCCTCTTTAACCAACTTGTTTTCAGAGGTTTTCTTTGTTTTTTGTCTGTATAACAGCGACTTCGGATCTCGTATGCTTAATATTCATACCTGTGCCATGGATGATATTCTTGGCATCCACGTATGTGTGGGTGAGCCTTATATGGTCAACACATGGTGGCTTTCGATCGATCTCGTTAGGAGTCGGAGGTATTCAAGGCTTTCATCTTTCTTCTTATCCCATTCTGTTTTAGGTGAAAGGTCACAAGTTTTGCCCATAGCTCTTCTAGGGTTTTTCGTTATAACCTTTGAATTTTTCTGTCGCAAGAGGTTTTTACATAGTTTTTCACACCATTAGCACACATGATGTTGTTTCAGATGCGACTTGTTACCTTACGTAGCAGATGGTAACCCTTTTTCAAGCTATATTGGTCTAACGAGGCGTATGTTCTAAGTCTTCTTTGAGAATATAATTTCCGTTCCTTTCAGTACCCTCTTGCGAGCATGTTCAGGGATTAAGCCCTATAATACCTAGAAATCTTAATGCTTTTTTTGGTGCACATTGCATTGGTTACCCTCTCGTACTCATATCCTTCAGCATTCGGTATTACTTCAGGTTTGTCTTTTCATTCTCTTTACTTGGTTCTCTCCTTAGATTTTATCTTTCGATTAACATTCTCTATAGTTCATACTTCATGTGTCATTTGTGTCTTGCAGAGAATGGCTCATAAATCGAAAGAAATTGGAAGTCACTAAGCGAAATGAGTTATATCAGAGGCTTCTAACTGAAGCCCTCCCGGCAGTTTACGAAGGTCCACAAGATTATTCCATAAAGAGCCCACCTCTGGACGACGGAGGTTGTTCGTTTACTTGTGTTGAACGTTTTTTTATTTTGCTATTGCAGATGCTGATATATTAGATCTGCCCTCAGCTCCTATGATCATGCCTGCTTCTATGGTAGGAAATGGAACATCTTCGAATGGAGCTTTAAAACGATCAGCAAAGGTTTCTCTTTACCCTTTTAAAAAGTTGCTCATGATTGTCATTAAGCATGCTGCTGGAGTTCGGCATCGAGGCAATAATGGCAGAGCAAAGACGAGTACAGTGGTCAATCCAATTCAACGATTAAACGAACGACGTCGAGAAGAGGATGAAGATAGCGATGGTAGTGCAGTTCTCATCTAGCATATTAATTATATACTTGAAGGGAGCGAAGAGTGGCGAGAAGGGGTTTCTAAATCTTCTGGTGGTCTATCCTGGTTACGATTGACCTATGAAGCGTTAGCATGGCTAGTGGGTACCCTAACTCAATCTGTTGATCAGGAAATAGAAGAAGAGGATGATGAGAGTCAGAACGAGGATTCGAACAAGAAGGTATATCTTTGTTTCACATGTTCGTATGACTCAGATGCTTCTTTAGATATCTCGTAACGGAGATGTCAACAAGCTTCGAGCGTCTACAACTGCTTCTCGGAAGGGTCGTGGTAGGGAGAAGGGGAAAGAGAAAAATATAATTTCACAAGCATCTGACAGAGAGAAGGTATGTTTTGCTCTACCTAGTTGTTTTATTTTTCTGTTTCCAGTCATCAAATGGCGTGTATTTGTCTAATGGTACTACTCCCCCATCACCTCAGCTTAATACTGCTCAGGTTACATCCCCATCACCTCTCCCTCCGTCTCAATCAGAACAGAGAGATAGTAGTAGAGAAACTAGTGTTTCACAAGCTGTTTCGAACCAGTCAAGGTATGTGCTCTTTGTCTTGTTTCTTTTTTATTTTGTCCTTTTCAGTTCCCATGAGTTGGAAAGGTTGCGATCTGATGTAATGCAACTCAAAGGAGCAGAGCAAGACGCCCGACTTCAATTGACGGCTAGTCGTAATAATGAGGCATCGCTACGACAAGAAGTCAGCCAACTTAAGAACAGTTTAGCCCGTATGGAGTCACGGTATCATTAGTTTGGTTTCTATGGAGCTAATCGTTTTTCATTCTTAGATATGCTTCTTTGGAAAAACAACGAGAGAATGATCGCAACTCCATAATGTTACTTGATGTGAAATGTGCTGAACTGGTTACTCGCAAGAATGAAGTTGAACGAGATTTGTTCAATGAACGAAATGCCCGTAAAGAGGATGGTGGAAAGAAGTATGAAGCTATTGTCTCGAAGTTTTCATTCTTTTGTGTTCCAGATCAGAAACAGCTGAACATTTACGGGAACGAGAAAGACAACTCGAGAGAGAGATTGATAGAATCCGAGTCGAGAATTCTGTCAAAGACGAGCGCTTGATGAAAGTCGAGCATGAAGTGAACGATCTGAAAAAGTACAAGGAAAACAATGAGAACGATTTGGGCGATCGTGACGATCAAATAAGAAATCTTCAAGACAAGATTAAAGCTCTAGAAGAATCGTTACAATCCGAGAACAAGTTGAAACAAGATTTGTTTCGCGCTCTTGGTGACGCTCGTACTCAAAACGCAGATTTGAAAGGTTAGTCGAACCCTTCCTCATTGCTAATGAATGCCCAATCAATGTTTTTAGAAAAACTGAGATCTCCCGATTTGGCACTTTCTGTAAATGTACATAGCACTACGTCTATCTCTGACAAGATGTCGCCTTCACAATCCCTGAATTCATCGCCGACAATCGCTAACTGTTCTATCTCTCCTCAAACATATAACGTTGCAGTTCAACCATCGAAAATGGACAGCACCATGAACGACTACTTGTGAGTTTTTAAGTGAATCTTGTAACCTTTAAGTGAAATTTTCAGATTCAATGCTTTAAAACAACATCATTCCTCTCCAACAGGCGAACATACCCTATTCGATCGACCCATCTTAGATCCTTCTCCTAGAACGATCATTCCACCTGAACAAATTTGGGGCGATCGAATGGGAAAGTTCGGAGCTCCAGCCAATCCAGCGCGATCGAACTAGATGTAGGGTTGTTCCAAAGAGCAGCTTGTTTCCTATCTTCTTTTCCACAATTTGCCTCGTTTCTACTTTCCATCAGCTCAGTTCTGATCAAGCTTCCTTAATAGGGTTTGAGTAGTATCAGTCACCGTAACAGTTTTGGGCAGAAAAACGGAAAGAGCTTTCGTTGATCAGCCGATCTGTAGGATAACTAGTACGTAGTTTGTCGTATTATCATTGCGTCAGTTTTAGTAAGAAAACCTCATCGAACATCAAACTCTCCTCACTTCCTCATTCTCCTTATCGTTTGCTGGGAGACCGTTTGATGATAACTTTGCTATAATATATACATATTAAGAAGACTATGCTCGGTGTTTTGATGCTGTAAGCTTGATTTTTGAAGCTTAAGCATCTTTTAATATTACCAGTTATACGGCATTTGCTCTGCGCGTCCCTTGCTCCTTTCTTATGTAACTCTGCCAAAATTAATAATGTGCTTCAGCTGAGCTCGCCTGTTAGGGACAAACTCTCTTACCTCTGCCCGAGCTTAAGCTAAGGTGTTTTAAAGATGGGTTACGGTGTGTTCACACCGATTGTATTATCCTAGTCCGTTTGCATTTTGATATGTCTTACTTTTCGAAGTTAACTCTCACAACACATACGTCAAACACTCACATTCTCTAGAATGACGTTTGTAAAATAATTTGGTCCTCACTCCTTTCTCTCTTTCTCTCTCCCTCTATCCCTCTCTCTCTTCCTCTTGCTGTCTCTCTCTCTCTTTCTCTCTCTATCTGCCTGTCTCCTGATTCACAATGGGGTTTGTTACAATTCCTCTTTTTTTTTGTTTTTTTTGTGGATCTTAGAGACTCTCATACTTCTCTCTCAAAAACATAGTTTTTATTTCCCTCTTTATATGTCACCGGATCTCATTCTACGGTTTCTTTTCAATTTTACATGGTTTTCTCTCTTTCGCAGATTCGTTTTTTATTGGTTTGTTCATCCTTCCCTGTGCATGGAGCTGGCTTCATGGTCAGCTTCGTTTGTTGTTAGTACCCCCCCCCACCTCCCCGAAACAGGCTTTACCCTCAGATTTCCGAATTTGAGTAATGTTATTTATAGTTTCTCTTTATCCCTTTATAAGACTTATCTCATTGAACGACGAAAAGATCTGCATTTAATTGAAATCTTTGAAAATTACTGTGATTTCGAATCAAGAAAGATACAGAAAGCCAATAAAATATTATTTAACAAATCATCTTTTCACACAATGCAGGGGTCGTTATGAAGAACCGCGGCAGTGATCAAGGTAACAGCAGCTTCATCAACCATGGGAATGAATCGAGTAAGAGAGCCTAAAGGAAGCACTAATCTTCACTAGATGAGATGTGCAGACGGAATAGATTTAATCGAGTTGAAGCATGAGTTCGTTCTACTTAAGTATCATCGTTGCGAGAAGCTCTTCAAGAAAGCAGATGAACTGCCAGTTACGTTATTATAAGTTTGAACGTGTAAATGATGCTTAAAGCTACTATCAGCTTAATATATCTGTTAGGAACGGCTTCAGGTAACCCATACAAGAAGCTATTCGATGATCTTCTATGGAAGTTAGTCTTTTTCCCCATTTTGAATTACATACTGTTCGTTTTCTTATAGCTATAACAAGTTAGTAAGGCCAGCTCAACATGCAAACGAAACTATAATCATTGAGTTCAAACTGAAGATGGATATGCTGGTAGATGTACAGGAGAGAGATCAAGTGTTAACGGCTAACGGCTGGCTTCTTCATGTTTGTCCATCTTTTGATTCTGTTTCTAATGTCTGATGTAGCGTTGGCATGATTACCGACTAGTGTGGGATCCTGAACTGTACGGAGGTGTACGACAATTTCATATACCTGGCGAAATGCTATGGCTACCCGATATAATACTTTATAACAAGTTTGTTTGTGTTGCTGGAAACAGGCGTTTAAAGAGAGTTTAGTGCTCATGGCAGTCCCTGTGTCGTTTCCATAACAAAAGTACTTGTGCAGTACAATGGAATTTTGGTTCTCATTGAGATAAGCTTTTCATTTTATGAGAATATATTCTTAGATCTGGGAGCCACCTGTAAAATACATGTCCTTCTGTAATATAGACATTGAATGGTATCCATACGATGTACAGCTTTGTGAATTGAAGTTCGGTAGTTGGACCTATAGCGGGACGGAGTTGGATTTACGCCACGTTAGTTCAGAACTTCTGAGTGGTAATCCTATGTTTTATAGCCGAAGACTGATGAAGTAGAAAAAATTGTTGAAAATGATGAACTTGTGTGGCACGTTAAGCGTGGCGTTGATATATCAGATTACCAGGTGAACTGAGGAGGATAGGGACCACCTTAATCTCTACATGCAGGAATCAGTTGAATGGGATTTATTATCAGTAGCTGGTCGTCGGCATGAGAAATGGTATCCTTGTTGTGACTACCCGTAGGTTTTCCTTCCATTGCCAATTCTGAATTCATAAATGTTAATTTCTTTCGTTATGTGTTGTGGAGCACAGTCCAGAAGCAACCGCATTCGAAGCGTCATTTTCAAAATAGTCAAATTCTTGCTCCCTGGTAACCAAGCGCGCTTTCAGATCAATAGATCTCACGTACTATTTACAAATACGAAGAAAGAAGCTGTTCTACACTGTTAACCTTATTGTACCCTGTGCCAGTTTGGCAGCACTAACTTCATGGGTAGTTCTTGAACATTAAACGCCGATAACCATTTTCCTGAGCAGGTCTTCTACTTACCGTGTGAAAGCCATCAGAAAATACAATTATGTATTTCTCTGCTTGTCTCTTTTACCATATTCATTCTGTTATTGGTTAGTTATCGAAAACGTACATGGAAACTACATAATTTAGATTGAAATAATACCGCCGACCAGTATCGTTATCCCTTTACTAGTCAAATACTTGACCTTCACTATGGTTATGGTGTCTCTATCAGTAATCACTACAGTGACAGTTCGTTAATAAGGTTCAAGGAATATGAGAACAGATTTCGAATTAAGGTTCAGAACATTCATTTCCGAACATCGAGCTATCCTATGTCACCTTGGATGCGTAAAATATTTATTGATTGGCTCGGTCCGAAGTTATTGATTTCTAGAAAAACCGAGCAAGCGAACTATCATCGTAGAGCTCAGCACAACAAAGTTAGAGCGTTAACGCTTCCAATTATCAATCCGTTTCAGAAGTTGAACGCTCTCTCGGCAATGGTAATACTGGAGCGTCAATTTCAGAAAACTATTTTCGAAATAGAAATGGCCACGAAGGCCAAAAAGCCACTGCCAACAGTAAACGCTTTGTTTGCAGACTTCCCTTTGTTGGCGAGGTCTAAGAGCATGAAAACATCATTATTGAAAGGACTAACAAGGTAAAGATGTCTTGAAAAACTTTCGAACTCAAGTATAGCGACCGCAAAAGCCTTCGTGTTCGTCGACAACTTAGCACAGACTATGCGTCTACAGCAGGGGATGAACTTCCAGAAAAAAAAACGGCAACAGAAGAATCTGTCAGAGACACCCTTAGAAGAGCCGAGCGGAATGTTAACTATATTTCCCAAACCCTCACAGAACGACGAACAGACCAAGAGGTTGCTTTCGATATTCTTCTCGAAACTCTTTCGTTTTGCAGGCTGCAGAAGACTGGAGATTCGTGTCACTTGTCGTGGACAGAATTCTTCTATATATTTTTGGAATAACCATTTCTGTAACTTCTTTAGTTGCAGCATTGGCAGCTCCATCCATTTTTGATACAACCCCTCCCATATCCACAAGATAAATAAGAAACCAAGTAATAGAAGTAATGTTTATTGATTATTACTCCACAACAAAACAAAGAATTGAGCCGAAATGGTAACGAGCTGGCAGGATGGTGGTTGAAATGAATTGAAGAACATTTGGCCAGGCGAGACATTTGGCTTGAACTGGAAGGATCATCTACTTCTTTTGAGCTCTTCTCTTGCGCTTCAGTCTACGCATACGCTTTTTACGCCACTGAATCAAATAATTATTAATAAGAATAAGAGAGGAATAAACATACCTTTTCTCTCATCTTATTTGTAGTACCTTGGTGGTATGGAAACCGACAAAGTACCTGAAGAAACAACAATTAATAAACGACTCAATGACAATAACAAGATCAATGAAGGCAAACACAAGGCATTACCGACAATAATAAAGAAAAGAACGAATTATAAAACTCTTTTAATATTTAATACTCGAGATGAGATATTGAAATATATAAAAGATGTGAAGCGCTGCTCAACTGACTTAGATAGCAACATCAGATCCTTACATCAAAAAAAATTGCAGAAATTTGTAGGCCACGTGGTGGTGCGTCGGGGCGTGTTTCGGCGCCGCAACGCTGCAAATTCAAACATTGGCGTACGGCCAGATAAGCTATTTTTAGACAAGGTCAGAGATGCTATCTTAATTATGCAGGCGTTTTTCGATAATATAAGCACATTTCCGTTGCATTCCAAGTTTCTATGGTAATTTGACAATAGATACTTCAACAAATCGAATTGGATGTCTATTTCCAATTCATAAAAGGCAATCCCGCCCCTGCTAGCAGGTATTTTTTGTACTTATCTCAGCTTTATGACCACGAAACTTGCTTGCATCAAGAAAATGACAAGAATATATTTTGAAAGACTGGTTTTGTTTGATAGGAGTTGGGGAACTGTTTATTTCTAACCAAAAATGTTGTAATACCCTTATCAGGCTGGCGAGCCTGACACAATAATGTATGGCAAAACAGTCGTAAAAAGTTGAACGATACCAATTTCGAGCATATTTTACGTTCTGACTTTGATTAGAACCGTTTATTTGTCGTTTAGCTTTCATCATATAATCTTTTGAGAGTCTTTTTATGAAATATTTTATTTTTCATTTGCTCTTCCTGCAGTTGATTTCGATAGGCTTTCTTTTTGTCAATTCTTCTCCTTCGCCTGCCTTTGAAAATAATGCTCGTGCTCTGTTTGTATAAATTCATATGCGCATGACTTAGTTAATCCTGTTTCTACTGGTAATTTCATTATTCTCCGTTGACTTTCGACTTGACTTTTGTCATTGTGCGTGGCAAATTAATCGCCTTTCGTGCTTTGTCCTTGGCAAATTTTTTGATGAATGAATACGTAAATCCTTCCGAATGCCCTGCCATGTAACAGTCTTTGTCTTCAGGATGATTGCTTTGTTTGTGAAAGTCTTGTTTAAACATTGATGATGGGTCATAATTTTGTTTGAAATTCTGTCCACAATTCCTCCAAATATTCGTATCATGACTTTATGACGTGAGGCCTTCTGGTCTTTTGTTAGCATTTCCGCCGTCTGATGGCAATCTAGTCTTTCATTCAAAATCTGCATCAACTACATCTTTATCTAAGGTCTTCTTCTTTTTCTCGTTGTGGCCCTCGAATCTTCATGTATTCACTAGTTTTTGCATCTTGCATCCTGCTCTCCTCCCCCTGCTTCTCTCTTTCTACTCAATTTGTCATTTATCCACCCGAGTTGCGCTCTATCTAATTGAAGATGGCTGAATTTCAGGCAAAATCTATCTGACCAACAAGACACTTTGCTTTGCCTCTCCACCGAACCTCTATTTACGTATTGTGCAGATGAATTTTAAATTCAGCCTCCCTCCTTCCTCCCTTCTTTTCCCGTTGTTCTGGTGGACATGTCATGTTTTTCGTTTTATGCACACCTTTTATCGACTTTTTTGATTCATCCTCATATAGGCGTGGCTTTGCCATTAAGCTCTCAGTTGTCTCCTTGTTCTCAGCGGTTTCAGACTTTTCGATATATCTAAAGATTGCAAGTTCACCATCTCTTCATTCTATTTGATTGACTTCCGCTGTTCTTTCGTTTTTAGTTTTTTTCGGTTCCGCAACCATATGGTCTTAAGGTTTTGTTGTTTTTCAGTATGTGCAGAGAATTAACCATTTATTATTAAATCTACAACCTTTCCTTTTCTTCCTCACTCTACTAACCATTCCGGTAAGTTTAAATTTGAAGCTGTTCACTTCTAAGTTTCTAAATTAGATTTACAATGGATCCTGACGTTGAATTCAATGCTCTCGCAGCTGTTTATCAAAGCGTAATCCAAGACATAAAGGTGAAACATTAGGAAATTGATAGAAATTAATGAAAAAGTCTGAAAATTTGAAAATTTCGACCTGAAACATTCAGTTGCAAGTCGTGAGTGTCAGTTGTAAACCAATGGTCAGACGGGAGAGACTTCTGATTTATAGCTCTACCACACTAACATTAGCACTTTATTTATTATAATTCGAATATGTTGAGCTAGTTCAAACCTTACAGCTTCTGTAGAATACAAATTTTCTTGTGGAATTCTTTTGTCAGCTGTCACAATGCTTATGAATTGAACGGAGAAAGTTAAGAGTGTCTTTCTATGCGTTTTCATTCTCTTGATATTTGGCACTTGGAAAAGAGCACAGAAATCCATATGGAGTGCTCTTTCCAGGCTGTGTCGTTGTGAAGCTTGTCGTGGTGCTTAAAACGGAAATAAAAGGCCATTTATGGAGAAAGAATTGCAAGTGGTTTGCCCGAATAAGGCGTCACCTTCTGCTCTTCTCGCCTGTGATTTTGGAGTGTGAGTGCTTGAGAAAGTAGATGCTTGATAAAGCTTTAGTAAAGAAAGTAATTGGCATAATTCATTGAGTATTGAAATGGTTTCAGCACTCATATCCAGCCTGGGAGGTTGTGGCACAAAGAGCTTTGAAGTTGTCGCAACAATTGAAGTCAACAGTTCAATGTCTAACTTCTTTTGTCGATTCCATGCAAGCTGTTAGCGATTATGCAAACAATCTGAAAGGTTTGAAGTACTATTTTAATCGTTCCATATTGTTTTCCGTAGGAGCTTCTCGCGATGTGGGGGCATGTGTTACCAGAATCTGCATGAGAGAGCGAGCGATTGAGACTCGTCTTCGTTCTGTCGCTGATGCATTGTCAGAGGAGTTGGCTGTTGCAATTCAGCAGAGAACTGGATATTGGAAACATAGAACTCAGGAGTTGGATAAATTAGCTTCCAAACATGTGAAAAAGGTTATTTTTGTATTCGAATCTGGTTGACAACTGTTGTTATGAAGGTACGTGGAAGGAAAGGAAGACCTGATGAAGCTTCTCTTTCTGAGCAACGTCACCTTTGTGCTCAAGTCTTAACGGAACAGAGAGCTCAATTTTCTTTTTTCATTAGCTCATTAATGCCTTTCTTGGTTTGTTTACAAACTTGTATACATCTGTCAATTCAAAACTTCAGAATGCTCAACTTAGCGCCTTTGACGAAGGCCCACATATCAGACAAGTCGTAGAAACATTAGAGGATACTATAAAGGTACACCACGGAGACATATAAACAATCTATCTTTCAATTAAGGGAGTTGATGGTAGAATGCTGGCAGAGAATATGGTTTCTGACATTTCTCAAGGAGCAGACAATACATTCAGGCAGTGCCTATCATCAGCTGCCAACAGCTCTTATTTAAATTTGGATGATTCTATTTCCCTTAGGGCTGGAACCCCTGGAAGCACATTTAGCAGTTCGTTTTCCTAACTTGTTGTCCATTGCTCTTTTTTTTTCCAGATGATGATGATATGACTCCCCAGGGAGCACGCCCAAGGACAATCTCCGTCGGACCTCGTTATGACCATCCAACTATTAATAGCCAAACATATATGCCACTTTCAAAGCCTCCGCTCCAACGAAGACCGAGTGAGAAAAGCTTGATCAAAGTGAGCTATCGAAGACTAAGATGGAAATACTTTTCTTCATTTTAGACTTCATCTACTCCTCCCCCAGAGCCAGGACCTCCATCTGCTTATCGAACTTGTTCATCAGATTTAAGTCCGACAACTCTTGGCCGAGTCCCCCGTCCTCAAAGTTTTACAGGGGAACTTCGAGCCGCCTATAATGTAAGAAAAATTTTCCGTTATTCCATACATTTTTTTCTCTCAGTATCATCATCCATCCACTTTCGGAATACCTCAGTACCCACCTCTGGTCAGTAGTTCTTGTAGTAGCTCTGATGCATCTTCAGCTTTGATCGCGGAAACACTTCAACAAATCGGTAAATATACCCTGCTCAAGAATCGATTCATCTGTTGTTTCAGACCAGCTCGGTAGTGATTTGGACAATTATTGCGTTGCGGCTGATAACAAGTCTTTCTCTAATTTGAGTCAGTTCTCAAGTATGAGCACTAGGCCTAATAGCCTGGAGAAGAGTGCTTCATCGGCGATTGTGGGGGGTGTTCGAATGAGATCAGGTTTTCATTTTATGTTGTTCGGTTTCTGAGTTTTTTTCTCCAGAAAGTGCATCAAGACCACCACCACCTCCAACAAGACGTAGCAGCACTATTACAGCTGCTACTCCAACTGCGCCTTCAGTCGTTGAGGCGAGATTAAGTATGGGGTCAATGATGGGTTAGTTTCTTTTCCAATTTCTCTCGAGAAGTATTCGGCGATTAACTATTCTCACCAGTAGTAGAAGTGGATTAAATGATTGTTTCAGGCAGCCGGCAATCTCTGAATTCCTCCGGAGTGTTCTGCAGTATGGGTTCTGCAACCGATCTACGTTACGCAAACGTGAACCCGTATGTGCGCCAGAGCTCTGTACAGCCGCAGTTTAAAATTTAATAAGCTTGTCTCAAACGTTTGATGACCAAATTGTAAAGTTTCTGATATTACTTACATATATTCCTCTCGTTTCGAACATTTATGTATATATATGCGTATATCTTTCAATTGCATGGAATGTCTTTTATGATTTGAACTAGTGTATTTCTCAAATAACGATGGGTAAGATTCTTGGGTCTACTTATGTATATTTTCATTTTAATAATAGTAAGTGTGTGTGTGTGTTTTGAATTGAATATTGTATTCGTATCAGTATAAAAATTCTTTTTATTTCTGTTCTTGTGCGCATGAAAGGAAGTTCCCTTAATGATAAGACCACCATGTTCGCAATTCGTCGTCCACTTGAAACAACATTGACAATCACGTATCACATTTACGAATTCGTTTCACTACACTAATTACTTTTAATCAAAATTATAATTCGTAGCAAAGAAGACGTCTTACTGTGACGTTAAATGCGTAAATTAGAATACTTGGCGTCACGGAGTGTTGATTACAAGCGGGAATTTTATTTTTGAATGAAGTTCGCTCCGGAACGGTTGCATTCTATTACTCTCCCATGGTTTATGTGTTATTTCAAAGTTTTCTCATTAATTTTTTGATAGGTAGAGTAGGTGATTATAAAAATGTTTATTCTATTCTGATTGTTATCATTGTTCCTTCTATGTCCTTCCTGAAGTCGAACAAGATCTTTAGTTTAGAGTAAAAACTTATTGTTCAACTGTGTTATTATTTGAGTTAACTCATTTCCTTATATAGTCTTAGAAAGTTGTGCACAGCCTTGTGTTAGCCGAACAAGTTGTTCATTGCCTATCATGTTTATCAAATTTGGATCCTTCTTTATGTCTTGTTATTAAATAATTTTAAATATTAATATATTTTAATTCTGTTATTGTAAGTCAGGTAATCTACGTACGTATACCCTCGATCAATCCATCTGTACTTACTGATCCCTGCCATGATTCCATTCATTGAAAGATGTTCTCATGAATCGGAAAAATATTAAAAGTTTGAAGAAGAACGATATGATTAGTGTGAAATAGTGCTTCCTAAGGACAAATGCAACAACGCATGAGACGGACATTCGTTTTCAAGCCAGTTTAACCATATAAAGACATGATTAGCACAAGGTTAATATTTCTACCATCAACAATTATGTCATCGACAATACTTTGGTCGCTTTCACCATCTACGACAATGTGATTGACTGTCATCATTAAGTCCCGCCCACTATGAGGCAGTATTCTCTATGATCTTCCTTATATGAAAGAGCTCCTCCCATCGTAATCAGTGATGACATTTATTGTGGATGTAGGTTCTTATGGATTTTCTGAATTTTTCTTTCTCTCATACATTCTCTCTCACTCTCTCTTATTCCTACTGATGATGATTCTTCCAAGTTTTTTCTTCTCACCTTGTCTTTCTGTCTGAATTGTATGATTAAGTAGAAGTTCGCTCTCAGTTGTGTTTGATTCGTCATCCAATAACCGTTCTTCAGATGATGGCTCAAACACAAGAGGATGTGAGTGTGGAAAGGAAGAAGACTGAGCAGGAACAGAAGGCTAAGGTAATGTATCCCATTTTTCTTCTTTTATTCTGAATGTCTTTCTCTTCAGCCTGCTAATCCTAAGGGATTTATCAGATACGTAATGTTAACCGTTTCAATCATATGTCTTTCGTCAATCATGGCTAATATTGTTTGCTTCAACTTTACGGTGTTATGTATGCCCGGAATCAAAGTACCGTTAACTGACATTCTAAATATGGTATGTAGTTCAATCAAGCGTTGACAGCTTTTCTTCTCGAACTTTCTCTATAAACTTGATCAACTTTATTAAAAGGGGGAGAGAGGGATACATAATATGGTCAAACGTGCCGTTCAATGTCACGAGGTTGGGGATGTCCTACACACGTAGAATAGTCTCAGTCAAGTTCTCTCATCTCTCTCTTCCACTCTCGCACTGATACAAATCTCTCTTCCAAGAGAATTCTCTTTCGACAACTCTGACGTCATAATCTTCAGTTCTTTAGACGTTGGTTGATGAGAAATCGGAAGGATTTACGAAATATGAACGAACATTATTGTTTTCATCTGTTGCGATTGGAGCTCTAGTTTCTGTTATTCCATTTTCTCATTTCATAACAACAGTAGGATGTCGCAAGGTTCGTAATTATCTATTTGTCATTGTTATTTCGGAAGTAAACACCTTTTCCAGATGTTCACACTGGCTGGCATCATAACTGCCATAGCTACCGGTTTTATTCCACAGGTAGCTGATAATAATCTCAACATGTTTCTGGCTCTTCGATTTCTACAAGTATTGATAGTTTCTCTATATTTTCATTTTTTCACTCTTTGAAGGGCATCTCGTTCTCAGCCTGTATGCCTGCTGTAGGTAGTATTACAGCATCTTGGGCTTCATTATCTCAAAATGGATTGTTCATGGCTGTACTCACCACCTTCGCACAAGTCAGCGCTATTTTCTCGATGCCCATATCGGGAGAGTTGTGTGAATCAGAGTACGGCTGGCAGTCCATTTACTACCTTCACTCAGTCTTCTGCGTGTTTTGTTTTATAATATTTGCTTGTATTTATAGAAATACTCCAGGTTGGTGATGTCTTCTTGTTCCGCAACATGATCCTGTTTTCAGAAGAGCATCCTTGGATTTCTGTAGAAGAAATTGAATTCATTGCTGCTGGCAAGAAAGTGAGGATTCCAGAGAAGGGTGAAGAACCCACTGGAATACCTTACTTATCCATCATGACTACTCCAAGTGTTTGGGGAGTCTGGGTTGGAGCTCTAGGAGATCTCATAGCTATTCAGGTTTATCTAAACAGTCTTTCCATCTTTGTAATCAATCAATTACAGCTCATTCACACATTTTCACCTCTGTATATGCGTCAAGTTTTACAATATTCTGTACATAAGACAGGCTTCGCGGCCGCCCTTCCTGTTTTGATGCAATTCTTTGTCAAAGTAATCTTTCTTTGAAATTATTAACAGTTTTTCTATTCCATATCAGGTTTTTGCGGGACATACGTCAGATAGGATCACACAAGTTTCTGAAACAACCAAACTGAGGATATACAACACGATAGCTCTTGGAGCTAGTGCTCTATTCATGATAGCTTTAGCGTTCGTGACCAAAGGTTGTTCTAATCACTCCTAAAAACTCCTCATTCCGAACTTCAAGGTCAATCCACCGCTGGAATAGTTCTGATCAGTCTAACCACCGCTATGTTTGGATTCAACGGGGGTGGATTCAATAAGGTTATTCAACTAGTATTCATCCATCCTCTACGCTTCTGTTTTCAGTGCGCTACCCTCGTTTCAAGGCAGTACAGTCCTTTCGTATTAGGTAATGTGCAGTTCATCTGGTGCATTGCAATGCTGTTCTGTCCGATTTTGGTGAGTAAAAAGCTTTAGGAGATGTACTCTCTATCTTTTCTCTCTCCAGGTTTCCTTATTATTACAAACGGGTGATGTCTCTGAATGGCGTCTCGTATATCTTGTTCATGCTGCAATACTTCTACTTTCTAACTTATTTTTCTGTTTGGTCGCCACGGCAAAGCCTGCTCCTTGGACAGATAACTCCATTAGGCCTTCGTCTAAGAAAAATACGCCTCTTTATGTGGCTTAAAACTATTTATTAAATAATCTAGAATAGAATTCATGAGAAATGTATTAATAAACCGGAACTTCTTCTAAGTTGACCAGTCTTTCTTTATTTGAAACTAAATGTGGTATCACATTCTTTAATAACTCCTCCGCACAACTTCTCAACTTCTTCTAAGAGAAGAGAGAGTCAGGTTCTTTCCATAGATACTCTCCTCGCTACAGGTAATTTTGAGACTTATCGACGAATTAATTCATTGACAGAGATAGGATTGTTCAGTTCAGGATGATGAGATGAAAACATTCCGAACACTCGTTCGTGCAATGATTTGAGAAAGGGTGTTCTGTTCAATGCTTTATCTATATTTCTGTTATTCATTTTCGGGTTTGATCCTTATTTGAAGAACATTAGCATCATTCTCCGCTAGGACAACTGAAATTCCGATCTTGTCGGGACATATTTGTTCAAAATTTTGAAGTTTCGGAGAAAATATGTTTTTTAATCTGTAATTTCAGCTTTTTCTTGTTCAATTTTTCATTTGAATCATAAGTTGTGATAGTTTGATGACATTAGAATAAATATTTTGTTTTGTTAGTTCTATTCTCCATATAAGATGGTTATAACCGTTGTTACTTGTTCGAGACTCATTGCTACAGACTTACTCTGTGTCGGACAAGTACACAGACTCAACTATGCTGCTGCAGGTTAGATCTTCATTGTGTTCTTTCCAGCTGATGAGTTCAGTAGAGGCGGTGCTTCCATGTGCTCAGTGGAAATAAATGAGATAATCATATATAGATAAGTGAAGTCGAAATGATTGATTAGACGAAGTTGGATTGTTCTATGCCAACCCTGTAGTAAGTGTGAGGTGTATGTGTGGTTAGCATAACAACGGGGCAATTGAGTTGGTTGAGAATTCATTTCAGATTGTTTCATAACAGATGTTGGGTTGTATTCTTTCCGTGTGTTATCATTCGATTCGAATCTGTACATCAGTACGGTCAATGCCGTCTTCCTTTATTGCAATCTTTCCTCGGCTCCATTCTCGTTGCTCCTTCTTGAGTTCTCCAAATGATTAGCACCTGGCATCAGCACCACGGCTTGTTTTGCTTGATTATATACTATTGTGAATCTGATTGTTCGAAACGTTTACAGATCAAGTAAGAGTTACCAGGACAACTGATAAATCAAATGCAGTGGAAGCAATCGCTGGTTCTGAAGGAGCATTAGGATATGAATTCTCGGAACGAAGGTAAAGATATTCAGATGAATTGGTTAGTTTTTGAAAAAGTGAACGAGAGCAGTTGCAGCTGTCTACTATTTATTTATGAATAGATTCCAGGCGGTTTTTTATTCAGAATTATTAGGCTGCAGAAAACTCGGGTCCTTCGAATGCGAACTGAACTTCATCGTTGTCATGTCCAGTTATGACCCTTACCTCTTCAATCATGAGTTGCCCGATAATGAAACATATAAAATGATTCACAATATTCTGTTTTCTTGTAATTGTGCTGTTTACGGTTTCAGTTATCTGATTCTCTACTTGTCACCTCCAAGTAAGGAATCTTACTACTACAAGATGTTGGTGCACGCTCAAGGAGTAAGTTAGTCACTTCCGTTCTCTTCCAGCTCTTCTTTGCAGGCTTTGCTATTCCTGTTCTCTATTTTATATTCCATACTTCTGAAGCTTATATCTCATTTTAATTATAATTTTTACTACTGTGAAGGATACTGTTACCTAATTGGTCTAACATGTGCAAACGTCTACACAATCCTTTGCTTTATCTTCGGATCGTATGCTGTTACTCTTGTTGGAAGCTACTTGTTCAGATTGTACTTGATAGTCGATCATACTCACTTCCTTAGGGTAAGTGTGTGCAAGAGCTTCAGCTTCCATCTTCCTTCTCCTTTCTCCAGAAACCTTATCTGTTTCCTATTATCTGTGCTGTTATTGAGTTCTTTTTTTCTTTCGTATCATCAGTAACATTCTATATTGGGTATAGTGAGTTTGAGCCGAGTAGCCTTCCATTCAATGTGAGTTCATCAGAGGATAGGTTATCCTCTCATATGAAGTGTTTTCAGCTTTCACAGAAGCAGTTGGATTACATGTCAATGAGGACCGTTGCATCTTATAAACTAAAGACTTTCAAAGAAATATTCTATCCGGTTTATTTCGCTTCGTTGATTATATTAA